TGAACCACCAGGCTTGGGACAAGTGAAAAACAGGATTCTGGTGCCTCCCTCAGGGTGGCAGAGATGGAAATTTAAAGTTTCATTCTCCAACCCATGGCAGAGATTTCAGAGGAAAGGGGCCAACAGGGCAACAGCAGCAGCTGTCAGAATATACTGGTGTTTTTGAATTCAAGTGCTACTAAGTGGGAAAGATCTGCCCACAGAAGTAAAGATTTTCAGGCTCCAGTCAGTGGCTATTCATTTCAAGGACTGAATGAGTGTGATGAAATGCTAATGTCACAACATAATTTAGACATCCCTTAGAGTTTATGTGTCTGGCTGCATCTTCAGTATTCTTTATATTTACTTTCTTGTAAGTTACTGACATCGAAATTGTCTACACCAAATGGTAAGAATGCTTCTCCACCTCACAACACCCTCCCACCAGCCAGCTCACATACAGAGGCGGTTTTAACGTGACATACACCCACCTTAGACCCTCAGCCTCCACATGTGTGAGTGTATGTGTTAAGGGAGGCAGTTAATCAAAGAACCACCATTTCACCCAGGATATGGTCCCTCCAGCAGGGATCCTAAGTCCCAGATTGGGAATAGAGAAAGACAGGAGGACACGCTTAGAAAATGGACTCTGATGGCCTCAAGTTCAAATCCTGAGGTTATCTCCTAGTTGCTGTGATCATAATCATAGATGAGTGAACTTCAAGTCTCAGTTTCCTCATAAGTACAAAAGAAGCTAATACTAGCTTGCTCATAAGTAATACAAGCTACTTCATCACTTATTGTGAAGACTGCATAAATGATATATGTAATTTGGGGATGAAGAACAGGTATATACACAAATAATACATGTTAGTTCAACCCCCCACCCCATTCAAGTTCTAGTCCCCATGTGGCCATTTATTATCTCAGTGACCCTGGGTAATTCATGTGCTCTCCAACCTCAGTTTCCCCTTCTCTCAAATTAGAAACCAGGAGCTCTGAGGGCTCTAAAAGTCCTAGAGTTCAGTCCAGTAAGGGAGGCTTGTTTTTGGTTTCTACTCTTAACACTCTTTGGTGCTCCCTCTTACAATCTTGATCATTCTTTAAATCCATGGTGCCAGTCCCTTCTGATTTTTGGATATTTTGCCTCTGGCTCTGTTGTCTTCCTCTACCTTATTTGTTGAAAGTTGTCTACAGTCCAGGACTGTGTTAAGACTAGTCCACACTTGGGGCGCCTGGGTGGTTCAGTGGGTTGAGCGTCACACTTGGGCTCGGGTCATGGTCTCACAGTTTGTGAGTTCGAGACCCCTGTTGGACTCTGTGCTGACAGCTCAGAGCCTCGAGCCTGCTTCAGATTCTGTCTCCTTCACTCTCTGCCCCTCCCTCGCTTGCATTCTGTTTCTCTTTTTCTCTTTCTCTCTCTCTCTCAAAAATAAACATTAAAAAAAAAAATTAAAAAAAAAAAAAAAAAAATTAAAAAAAAAAAAAAAAAGAATGGTCCAAGCTTTATCACAGAGTGCATATGCACAACCACCATGGGGTATATTATTATTATACCCATTTTATAGAAGAGAAAAATCAAGGCTCAAGAGTTAAACAACTTATCAAAGGTAGGGAATTCAAAACTGGTTCTTCCCAGCTGCTTGTTATCTTTACATGGTATATTACATTTCCAAGCTTGACTGTACCTAGTTTGAGCTCTATCTTCTTATGACCATGTGCTGTGCTAGCTTACCTCATAAATCACTTTGTATTAATAACTGGGTGTTACACCTGTCAGGTGGCCTATGTCCAAATTAACCAGGACCCATCATCTCTGAACCAATAGAAATTCTCAGGTCCTGCAGCTGGTAGGTCAGGGTGAGATTCAAGACTAGTAGGACTTAAATACATCTTTCAAATAACAGCATATGGTCAAACAGCTACTCAACTTCCAAATGAAACTGCTAGAAACTACTGTGTTTTTTAGTTCAAGCCTAAAGTGCAAGCTTACCAGTTGCTTCAAAAGCCTACTCTTCATAGCACAGAGTGGTAACAGAAAAGGGCTCACACTTTGGGATCAGACAACCCCAGGTTGACTAGCCAAGTGAACCGGAATGGATTTCTTAACCTCTCTGGGCTTATCTATTAAATGATGTTGGGTAAGATAACCCACCTTAGCCTCAGGTTCCCCATCTGCAAAATGGGATAACATTTACAACCTTATAGGGATGGCATGAGGACAGAAAGAATGCTTGGCCTTGTAGTAGAAACAGATTAGCCTGCTGGAGAATAAGGGAAGCTGGTGGGATGATCAGATCGTTTCCAATCATTGAGGTAGTCTCGAGCAGAAAGTTTGGAAATGAATTAGAGGTTCACTGAACTTGAAGGGCCTGCCAAGATCTGTAAGGACTCATGCCAGTGAGAGCTGGATGCCTTATTATGACAAAAGCCCTAGACTGATGTAACCCTTGCCTCCACTCTGCTAGGTCATCTGGCAGCAGTTGCTAGCAGCACTTTTTTCAGGTGAAAGGCTTCCACTGAGCCAAGTGGTAGAGTGTAATCTCACATCATCTCTCATTCTTCAGCACCACAAGGCAGCAAGGGTAACTGAGCTATTCTGGGCCTTCCCTGTGAGATCCCAACTTTATCCATAGCCCATGGGCTCCCTTTGGCCTCATGTTCTGAAGCCTTTTCTGAGACATCTTCCTTCTGCCTCACGAGATCAGAGGCGACATGGGAAGACAAGGAACTGATCGTGCAAATGGACCTCAGCATTTTATTTCCTTATCATTTTATTTCCTTAGTTACGGCACATTTTCATTTACAGAGTACTTTCCCTTATAAAATCTCCCAGTGTTTACTTCTAATCTACTAAATAACTCCTCTGACCTCTTCTTGTTTTTACCCTTTAAATATCTGTTGATGGTCCATTCACCACATTCCCCATTCAGTTATTAATGGCCCACAAAAACTTACTAGCAGCAATCATTTACTGATTAATCTGCACAACAATCCAGAAAGACAGGTAGTATTAATCCTTAGTTCTGCAGAGGGAAACCAAGGGGAAAAGAGAGGTTAACTCAGTTGCCCAAGGTCAGTGGCTAAACAAGATTATAACCAGGATCTATCCCATCTTGTATCTCTGTAAACACTTCCCACAGAGCTATTCCCTTTCTTTCCAATCAACATGGTCAAGGCAGCTAGATCATTCCTGTGTTTCAGTTTCACAGAACAGTTTTGAACTGTCAAGATTCAACCTCAAGTAATTTTGCCTGCTAACAGTTCATAAATAAAAGTTGTTAAAATTAAGAGATAACAGTACTTGAAAGCCAATTTTACAAAAGCAAAAGATGAGTGAAAAGATCTGGATTATAGACCCAGCTCTGCCACAAGGAGACTCTGAGAGTCCCATAACTTCTCTGTATCTCTGAGTTATCTATAAAAATGAGAGTATGCTGAATGTTATTTAAGGTACCCTGCTGTTTGAGATGATGCAATAACTACTAAAAGAGCACGAAATATAAAGCTCCAATATCCAGCGCTGCTGAGATCATGGTGAAATCGGTATATCCGTTCATTGCTAATGAAGTACAGAGCTACAATCCCCTTGGAAAGCAAGACGTCAACATACAGCAAAAACCATGAAGAATTTCATGTCCTTTTACTTGGTAATTTAACTCCTACAGTGTTTTACCCTAAGAAATAAATCAATAGAAACCAAAAGACATATACAAATGAAAATGCAAATTTCAGTGCCAGCAATCAGAGGAAAAATTACCAATTTCAATATTCATTTTTAGAGGGATGTCTCATTAAATAAAACCACAGAACCATATTAATGTCATGTTGCTATTTAAAAGGATGAACATGAAAATTATGCAAACTCATTGAAAATCATGTCAATACTATTAAATGAAAATAGCCAGAAGTAAAAGAGCAGGTATGTACTCTGATGTCAACTACATAAAATGTGGATAGATGTGCAAGGTCACAGGAAAACTCAAAATAGTTATGTCAGCAGTTAGACTTATTTTTTTGAAATATTTTAAGTGTTTTTAATGAATGTTGTTTTTCCATTAACAAATACATTTTATCATTTCATCAATTATTTAAAATTTTCTCAACCCCTGCCTTAATTTAGCTTGATGGAAAATGAATTTTAAACTTTCTGCCTAAATCTCCTGAGTAATTTTTATTGGCTGACGTATTATTCATGACATTATTCTTCCAGAGTGATTTCTGCTCTTTACTATATAATTCTTTAGCGTCTTCAGAGATTCTAAAATCTCAGAACCCCTGCCTTCTTTCCCTCACCTAAGAGGATTCTTTAAAAGATGTGTCATCTAATCTAGCTATGAATAACTCCATGATTGCCTTGCAATGCTAATATTTGGCAACAGCCTGACCCAGGAGCCAATATTTTTCCATAACCTCGACCTGCGGGTGCCCATACAGGAGCCACAAAGTTGCCATTATCCTTTTCTCGGTGTATATAGGATTTCAAGTTTGGGGAGCTTTACAGCAGGACAGCTTATCTTTTCAGGAGTTTTAGGACACCCTCTAGTTCCCTTGGGAAAGTTGCTCCCAAGCAGTACTGGACCCTCCCTTCATATAAGGACTTTCACATCCTCCTTCATTTCTTAGAAATGCTCTCTTACTAGTAGGTCACCTGTACATCTTTGCTCATAATATCTGGGAAAGATTGCAGAGCCAATGAATTAAAAATATGATTCTAGGTCTCATGTGTGCCAATGAATGCCCTCATTAAAGCAGCATGAGTGAGATGAGATGGGTTTCAAAGCTTTCCGTCCCTTTGCCCCAGAGCCGCTGAGGCCAGGCACTGAAAGGATGCACAGTAAAATTAAATATCTAAAAATTCATCTTTAATTAACAGAATTGGATTAAAGCTAGACACCACCGCATATCATACGAGAAATGGCTGAGCTGGCTTCCAAGTGCTCTAATTCAATTAGGACGCAGTGAGTGACACTCGGACGGGAAAGGTTAATTGGGGGCGCCAGAACGCAATCATTCCTTACCTAACCAGTCATTAAACTTCTTAACCTCTGAGGGCAGTCCCAGCTCGGTGAAATCGCCTGTGTGGAGAAGGATGTCCCCATAAGGCATCTGGATACCATCTGTTCTGGAGTGTGTGTCTGAGATGCAGACAAACCGCGTGTGGCCCGCTGGTTTTGGAGTGTCATATGGGATGGGGTCGACCCTAAAGTAGACATAACAGATCCCATAACAGTTAAATATATTAGAACCCTTGTAATTGTCATTGCACATACATATCGATTGTTATCCGTGAACACGCCCAGACAAACTGATGCAAAGGCAGAAGGGCCCGTTGTAACAAGGGAGACTTTGGGGTGCAAAGGAGAAAGCATCACCCATCTACAACTCCACTGAGCAAATTCAAAAAGGCTTACTTACCTGGTAGGAGAATTAAAAGGAAAGGATATCTTACATGTAGGATCAGAAATAACCCAGGAAACTGGCAGAGTGATGAATGGTGAAGTTTAGGGATATTGAACCCCAACTGGGGAAGCAAAATTATGCTATTTTCTCTCATCATGCTCCAATTGATCCCACTCCTCATTAAGAAATGGATAACTACATTTATTCCTTCTTAAACATGCATAACTTAAGCAATGAACTAATTTAGGGAGAACACTCAGCACATGCTTTGCCAACTGAGATGTAGAAAGATCTAGATAGTGCTTATATTTAATTTCCTTTCCACAACCATTCAACACCTGTATCTTCTTGTTTTTGCTAAGTGATTCACAAATCAAACCGTGGGGAGAGAAGGTGATGTCAAAAATGGCAGGACTGAAAAGAAAAACATCGACTGTTGAAAGAACTTTGTCAAGCTCCTTCTTTACCACCATGAATTATCTGCAGTCCCAGTGATACCTTAGATCACTTGCAAGACTCCCAATGCCTTGGGCAAAGATTCTATTCAGTACAAATAGTAAGCCTTTTAATGGGTGTGTATAGATCTACATATACATTAATATATGTATAGTTTTAGAGACCTAAGCACTGTGAAATTACACTAGGGCATAAGAATCAAAAGGCAAAATGATCAACCCGAAGCAAAGAAAATGAAACAGAACAGTCTCATTTAATTGAGTGTAACAAAGTGTGCTAAATAAACTTGGTAAAAGAAATGCAAATCTGGCTCTTCAAGCATACAGTTTTAATTATTTAAGGGGTTTGTAGCAGAGTTAAGGATGCTTTAACTATATTAACTCTACACTGACAGCTTCCTTTAATTTCTCTGTAGGAATGTACACTTATTTTGGATTATGGGTGAAAAGAAGCAGTTATAAAGGCAAAGAGAAGGTCACAAGAGAGGCAAATATGCAATGCGGAGATTAGAGTGTGAAACATTAAATAAGGAACAATATTTCATGTCACAGCCCCGCCCATGATCGTTAACATGCAGCAGGGAACACGCTGAAAGCTCAACACAAGATTCCCTATATGTGTTGCCCCTACAGGCTTTGTTTAATTTTTCTTTCTTTTTTCCCCCTTTTTAAAAGAAATGATCTGGTTTAACAATGGCAATTTTAGTGAGGAGAATAAAGACATCAATACACAACCTGGCCAGTCTTGGTGGCGTTTCTTTAATAGTTAATCTTTTAACGTAATTTTCTCTTTGTCACAGAAGAAGGAAAAGAAGGAAGAAAAAAAGAGCAAGAAGAGAGAAGGGGGTGGGGGATTGTGAACTGGTTAATGCAGCGGGTCTAATTGGAAACCCAAAAAGAAAGTTTAACTTCTGCAAAAAATTAATGAATTTTTCCTGTAAAGGTTAGAAATTAATAATGCTATTACCATAGAGAATATTCACTAATCCACTGAGATCTCATGAGTAACCTGGAAACCCTTCTGATGATATGCAGTGTTGACTTTTTTTATATATATAAAAACGTTTGGTGTCTTCCCTTCCATTACACAGACTCTATTACACTCAGTCTGAGCGGTTCCAGTCTCATCAATATCTCCTGTCTCCTACAAGTAGTTTCCCTGGAGAATGTATGCCTGTTCTCTGAAGCAGAATGCAAGTGAAAAGTTAAAGTGATAGGTAATACTCTCTTCCCACGTCAAGCGTTAAGATCCTCACTGGAACGGGACCGCACACATTTCAACATTTGGATGAAAATTAAATAAATATCAGCCACCGGGCTTGTAAATATATGAATAAATTCAAATATATATATATATATATATATATATATACACACACACACACATATATATATGTGTGTATATATATATATATATATATACCCACACACACACACACACACACACGTATCTACATAAATACATCTTTATTTTCCAGTTCTCATCCTAAGGCTAACCTATAGACACAGTCCCTATTTCTTCTTTTCCATAACTCAGCTAAGCTACAGGTACAACTACTACATCAAAATCCTTTACTAATCCATCAGAATTTATCAGACAGACATACCTTATAGTTATCATTTTCAATTTACTAAACAGAAAGTAGTACAGATATAACCCCCTCACTGTGAGCAGGCCCGTATTCTATGACTTCTTCTCAGTGTTAAGAAGCAAATCAACACATGGTACATAATCTGTTTCCCATCTTAGTTCTATACTAGGCAATAACTTTCTTCTGAGCCTACTGATTGGGCCACCGGTCAATTTCTAAGTGGCTTCCACTTCCTTCCCCACCTTCCCACCTCCTCCAGAGAAACATTCAAATGTCCAACAGAATTGACAAGAAAGGGAAAAGGGGGAAAATGTGTCTTCCTAGCTTTGAGCTGAAATAAAATGAATCAGAAGTACATAGGAAGGCGCAGAGAAGGCTCACCCATCAATATCACCAATTTGATATCACCAAAGAGAATTAGGTAGACGTTGAAGACAGTTATGGAGGATTGATTCAAGGGAGAGGCTTGGGGAAGGGGTAGGTGTAAAGAGGCAAATGCAAAATTTATATACATCCTCTGACCCAGAGACACTGATATCCTTTGTTACCTACAGGATTCCGAACAAGGCAAGGGATGGTTTCAGGAGACAAGACAGCACAGCATGTCAGAGCCATGCTGAAAGATAACATGACAACTATCACCTGGGGTGGGGGGGGTCATAGGAAGGAAGACATTTCCACTCAAAGACATTCTGAGTTGAAAATAAGATGTCTAGTAGAGTAGGCAAGTTGCAGCAGATATAATTAAAGTTGAGACAACCCTCAGGACACTACTATTTCCAAATTGGGCATTTGGTAAATGCTTTGAAAATAAAAGTCAAGGCCATGAAATATTTTCACTATAAAAGTATATCTAAGGGAGACCATGACTACCATTAGAAGATCTACCTGTTCACATGGTGTGAAGACCCTCAGACGACATTTTCCCTCTTAGTTAACTTTTACTGCTTACTGTTTATGCTGCTGACTTCTCAAATGATTGAACATTTCCCCTAAGGCATCATGTCAAGTAGCCTAGCACATGAGTATCTTACCAAGGCAATCTAACCCCCAGAGCCAGATTCAAATATCACAGTGAGACTTGCATGTACATTTGAGTGCACCCTGGGGAAAACAAGAGGACATGGGAAGATGAGAAGAAAACACAGCATCGCAAAATCCCAGAGCCAGACAAAACCTTAGCGGGCATTGGGTTCAATGCTGTATACGAAGCTTGAATTCCTTCTACACCATCTGCCCTGCCTAACTGACACAAGTTTTCTTCCCAAGGTTTTCAGAGAAGGAGAGCTCCTGGGTTGCCTCCTCTCCCCCCAGGACCCCTATTCTTGTTTTTCGATATTTCTACTTGGCGAAAAAGTTTCTCATCCAGGGTCTGCACCTCTGCAAGCGCACAAAAAGCTGAGCTTGGTCCTAAGAGACTTGGCCCACAGCCTGAAAACTAACAATGTTGGCTGAGTTATTCGCTTCTGGCGAGTCATTTCATTCTTTGGGGCTTCATTTTTTTTTCTTCCCTCATCTGTAAAATGGGAATAGTAACAGCCTAATCTGCTGTGTTGCTGTGAAGATATAAATTGTCAAGTACCGGGTCTGGCACATAGCACATGTTCAGGAAGTAAAGAAGGAGAATGACACGAGTGAAGCATGCTTGACTGTCTGGCTTTGAATCTCACTCCAAATTTATGAATGGCGTGACACCAAACAAGGGGCTAAACTCCTGTCTCGGTTTCCTCCCCAACAAAAGTTATAAAAATAGCACCTGTCCCAGAGGATTGCTGTGAGGGTAAAGAGGCATCATGTACTCAAAGCATTCAGAATAGTCTGACACACAGCAGACACTCAGTAAGTGGGTACGGTTTTGTGTTTTTGTTTTTTATGAAGTACTAATATTTTTGCTACTATTCGTAGCAGTAGCATCTTTTAGCTTCTCTGGCCTCCATGTCTTCTGTTACAAGGAGGGAACAGCTACTACACAGGAACTTCCTGAGCTAAAGGAGGTCACATACACAACACCTGGCACATACCCCACAGTCAATAAACACATTTATTTCCTTCCTGTTACTTTCTTCTTTAATCTCAATCTTCTGGTTTGAAATACCAGGGAATAAGGGCGCCTGGGTGGCTCAGTCGGTTGAGCATCCAACTCTGGATTTTGGCTAAGTTCATGATCCAGGGTTGTAGGATCAGGCTGTGCATCAGGCTCCATGCTGAACGCTGATCTTGGAGGTTGCCTGAGATTGTCTTGCTCTCTTCTTCTGCCCTTCCCCCTCCCCTCTCTATAAAATGAAATAATAAATGAAATAAAATAAAATAAAATACCAGAGAATAAGAATCCGGTCCCTTTTTCCCTTTGACAGTTCCTCAAATATTTGAGGACAAGTATCATAACTCCCTAATATCTTCTCTACTCTAACTGAGGAGCCCTGGTTTCTCCAATGTTCCCTTGTGTGATAAGATTTCTGGTACCTTCAGAGTCCTACTGGTCTCCTCCTCAATAGGATCTGATTGGTCTGAGCTCCTCCCTGTGCAGTGGCCGAATTCGTGGGCCTGTGAATTCATGGGCCAGTGAGCTGTGTATCAAAGATCTGTGTCGTTAGTGGTGATGGAGAGACAACACTGCTGGGCACACTGGTGGTCTTTCTGAGAGGAGGTATCGTCAAAACGTTTTCTAATTCAGTCTCCAACTTTTGTGCCAGGCCTCACTTGTTCTTGAAGCTTGACTGTCAAATGCTTATATATCTCATTGCATATTCAAA